GCATTAGCGGTTTGAGTTCAGTTGCTAAGTAATGAATGAATCACCCAAACACACTGAATTCAAATGGTAACTATTGTAAGAAATTCGCAACAGAGTCTCATTTCAACTTTGTAGGCATGCTGATACCATCCATAGGTATAACTGCTTTAAGCTTCAAGTGCAACCTTTAACAACTTCTCAGTGGCCTTGCAATGTACAAGACGCTGACAGACGTCCTCATTCACTCAGGCACGCACACAAAATTCAGAAACTGCCTACATGGTCTCTTCAAAGTCCAGCATATTCAACAAGAGCTGCTCTACTTTCTCACTGAGTAAAAATGGAGACCACCCACTCTGTGATCTGCTAGATTCTAGTTAGAAAATAGGGTATACATATGAAGTATAATCTATATTTGGAAATAAGAAGTTTACTCATGCAGAAGCAGTGTGGTGTGTTCTTTAGGCGATTCTGCCAAAGTATAATCAAATACATTGTCATAAAAAAAAACACAACCCAAAGAAACCAGTGTGTCCCCCATCACTCTGTGGTACACAACAGCCCTGAATAAACCAGTCGGTTCTTTCAACGCCGCTGATGATCACCTGACTGTCAACACTTTGTAGGGGAAGCGCATGTAGTCTCCAAATGCCAAGTATCTACAGTGACACTGTGGAAGGGAGGGGGAGGACTGGAGCTGAGCAGTGAGCAATAGTTCACTAGATGTGGGATACAGAGTGGGATCTGCAGCAGAACGAGATCAGATAGCAGATATACTCAGAAAGTGTGAGACACGTGGAAGAAGAGAGACTGTCGACTCTCCCAAGACTCTAAAATAAGCTGTGAAGAATTGACTTTTTTGATTGGACTGGACTCAACAGGCCACGTGACCACTACATTCATTTGATTTGGGATGGCTGTCATCAAGGTGCCGTTCTGTTTTTGAAGATCACAATTACAACTTCCCTGCTTCACGAAAACCATTTTGTTATTTCTGGTCTGTTCCCGATCAACTGGATATCAATCCGGGGTTGACCCTGGAGTATTTTAGAGCACGAGTGATTGCTCTCCTCATTCAGTGGAGAAAGAGATGAAGACACTCTGTGGCTATTTACTTTTCTACCTCAGGAGGATAGAAGAAGAGAAGAACTGAAGGAAGCCAAACATGAAGCAGCTTGGCTAAAAAGCTTGGAGATTTGGAAAAAAAAGAAAGTTGGAAATCAGCGTTTTCTTGCGAATAAGGTAAGCCGCTTGCCTCTTGCCAGTTTCTGCTGTGATAAATGCCAGCAGATAAAAGGACTCATCGCTGCTCCTGAGTTAAGATCACAGCCCAGCAGGCAGAGTGTGGCTCCCGAGAGAGCCAAGGAGCAGTCGCACAAATAATTAGATATTAATATCCTTGGACACTCAACATCCTGCTTCCTAGCAACTAGACCTTCGAGAAACACTCACTCACAGGGGAAAAATGGTCAGATTTGTTATTATAAGTGTCATCCTTGATCCTGAACTTTAAGCTCTAACAAATACATCCCTTCTTGACTTCTGTGTGGTCTGTTATATGTACTGGGTATTAATGTCTAACTATCCATGGTGTGGTCAGCTTCTATTTTTAACTTTTGTTTTTTAATGCATCTTTTAGACCCTTATCCTATTTATCACCTGACTAGCCTCCTGTAATGTTCTCAGACATACCAAAGAGAGTCCAAACAACATAATGCATGATAAAAAATATCTGAAAGTAAGCAGGACACAGCTTGTGCAAACCTGTAGTTGAGGTGTTTTCCACTGAATCTCTCCTGTTTCCAGGGCAGTGATGTGACTGCCTCCTGTTTAAGGGCTCTTTGAATTCAGATTATTTAAGGTACATCAGACCAGAACGCAGCCACATCATTCAATTCAGTGGAAACCAAAAAATAAAATAAAATAAAATAAAATAAAATAAAATAAAATAAATAAATAAATAAATAAATAAATAAATAAATAATAATAATAATAATAATAATAATAATAATAATAATAATAATATTTCCTAGATGTTTCTAGAAGTCTCTTTACTCAACAATTTGGGCACTTACGTGGGCAGTTATTTTAAAGCAATACCTTAAAATAACTTTACCTTCAGTAGTCACCAGGACATTGGAAAAGCACAATCAAATGCATAATCATCATTTCAATTTAAAGTTAGCTGACTCTGACAGCAAAAAGAGATTTAAAAACATCTTTTACCTCCGTGGAATTTATATTCCTAACATCATCTTTTACGTCACATAAGTTTGCATTCAGGGTACCGTTTTCCTCTGATCATGGCTCACACAACACAGTAACACATTTTTGTATATTAACGTGAAAAACGAAACAGTCACCAAGTCAGCAAGATGATGTTAGCATTTAGCTCCAAGCCCTGCCTTGCATAGCCGAGTCTTGAGTTTAATAAAATTGTGCTGGTGGTATAGTCTTAAAATTACATCATGATATGGCAAGAATATTTACAATAACAGTATTTCTGACAATAGAAAAACATGATGGTTGCGGCCTTCTTTTCCAATGAGCTACTTTCGATAGATTTAGGCAGCAGCAGTAGCATTATATAGTGTACTAGTAGTAAAACATCATAAATCAAATGTAAGCATAAAAGTAGCCTAGGTGGTGTTTCCCCATGAAATTTAAAGTAAAGGTGTAAAATAACTGTTTAACACTTTGTCGCACAAGAATGAAAAATATTTTCTACCTGGGATGTTGAATCTTGGGTCGAGGTTTTTGACCAGCTGCCTAAACTCCTGCTTTTCCATTGTGTCACTGTTTGCTCTTCCTGTCACATGGAAAGCAGCTAGCATTGCTGGGTTGAGTTGTTTGTTTACATTTGGGTCGCACGTCACCAGCTGCTAGAATCTCGTCCTTCACAACCTGGTTGCACTCGACAGCACATTTTTTAGCATCGAGTGGTGAAACGAGTTTGTTATTTCCATCTTGACTAAAAACAATTTTCTTTTTCTGCTTACTTTACAAAGCACAGACACGTCCGGGCTTGTTGCATTGTTGTTCACACTGGGGAGTGTAAACTAATGACACAGCTATAACAATAATGTCACAATGTAACATTTTAATATCACGTAAAACCTTACACCAGTATTATTGCAAACAATTCGATGTGACACAGACCTAATCGCAGGTGCAGCTACGTTTTAGCCACATGTAAAAGAAGCGCAGAGGCTTTTACCTTTTCAGTGTCCTCTCAAAACATGCATTTTAATAGGTGTTTTTTTATACACATATATATTGTTGTGTTTTTTAGCCTTTACAGGACAGTAGGCAAAAGATAAGAAAACTAGAACAAAGAAAATGTGGTTAACAGTGTCGGAGCAAATTCAAACCCAGGCCTCAACATTAGCTTTACTGTATATGAGTTACCTGCTCTAACCAGTAACCTATTTCAGATACCTCAGAACTTGAAGTTAAAACTCAGGAGTGACGTCACTCACGAGTTAGCACGTTCCAGAAAAAGTGAGGGAAAACAGGATTTGTTTTGGTTTTTAGCTAAGCCATTCAGTTATCACTAGCAATACAGTATAATACTTATTTTTTGTGCAGACATTCATGGATAAAGCCTGATCAGTGCTCTGTGTATGGCTTATTTAGTGAGTGCAAAATGCACAACAGTAGCAGAAGAGATGCTACTGGCTACGTTCAGTGCCGCCATCTTGGCTTGCTAATTCGGGGTATGTTGGTCTGTTCCGACTCTCCGAGTGGGAAATCCGAGTTGAGGAGGTGTTCCATAAAAAAATTACATCTGGGAACTCAGAATTTCCGACTTCTAAATAATTGAGGAACTACACCATGTTGGCCATTATTAAAAACAAGATGTCAGCTGCAGATTTGGCCAGAGCGTGCGCGCCCTGTTTCAAAACAACAGAGAATTTTTAAAAAAATCTACCAGTCTGCAAATTTTCATGCTCTCTTCAGGTTTTTTTTAACTAATCAAACAAAACTTTGCACAAATGTTTTCAAACATACAGCAATTATTCATATCTATCTATCTTCTATTATAATCATTCCACTATAAATCCTTACTTTGTATATATTATGTTCATTTTATCATCCCCCTGTGAATGCTGTGTTGTGTTCTCCATTTCCGTTTGGTTCAAGTGTCCAGTTAAATGTACATCGCCCGAACGTAAATTAACAGTCACCAAAATTTGTGTCCACAGCAGAATTTCGTTTAAGTCAGCACCAAATATGGAATGAAAACTCTCTACAGTTATTATATTTTGGGAAAAACATTTCAAAAAACGAGGTTTGGGTAGATCATTCCAACACATTTACTCATTTTGTTGAAAATAAATTTTTATATGCACCTTTGCATGCATATTGTGCAACTGAAGGTGTAATACATTTAAGAAAATAAGAGAGCAAAGATTATTTTTAACACTGAATCACAGTAGGTTGAAGGGTTTTTCGTTGGTTGGGAAGGAGGTGCAACGTCATACAAAAGCTTTGTAAAACTTTGCTTTGAAAATCTACTTTCTGCATGCTGTAAAACATTATTACTTAGTACAACACATGTGAAAAAAGGGTTTACTCCACATAAAGTGCACCTTTTTCAGAAAGAAAAATCCCATTAAGTGCCTGAAGTGATGCCATTGATTTCTGCCATCAAACCATTTCTATCTCCATGACACCCGCTGTTCTGCCCCATCTTTTTCAGCCCATATTACTTTTCAGTTCAGCCTCACAAGGGAATCACACAGCCTCATCACTGTACTCCAGTGACTCTAATAGTTTTGCCAGCTGGAAGAAACAGAAGACACGTCACATAAAATGGCAGGGCATTGGATTAGCTGGCTATTTCTGTACCTTGTTGAACAGTGAAACATTCATTGTATATGCCGCAGAATTTCTGACATAAGAGGTGGAACGAAAGCAAAGCAGAGTTGTTGTTTTTTCAATCGGATGCCATTAAAAATCTTTTATCTATTAAATGTCTGTTTTATTTTACTTCAGCAACATATAAGCAACTTAAAAAAAAAAACCCTGAAGATGATCATTTTAGCTACGTGGAGAGCTGAACCGAAATCAGCAGTGACACATTTATAAGTGTAGATGTGCTTTGGTGGAGAAAGAAATGTAATATCTGTAATGTGGATGGCAGAAGACATCAAAATGAATAGAGAAAAATTAATTCAATCATGCCAAAGGTACTTCAGGAAGGGGAAATTGAAGTAGAAAAGAGCATCATTTTCACTGGGCTTGACTAATGAATCTGATACACAATGCTGATAACCATGTGACCTTCTGATGCTGTATGATTATCTCAATCTTTGCTTAAATGAAGGTAAATACAATTCTCTTTGTTTACCTATTATTTGATGTTGTGTATTAATATTCTGCCTGTGTTTCCTTTACAGCGACCTTCACAGTGCTGGGCACTTCCATTGAGCCTGGTCAGTTTTGTATGAGCCAGGCTGATAGCGTGAAGCCCTGTGGCTGTGCACCACTGAGGCATGAGTGTGGGAAGAGCCCACCACCACCACCACAGCTTCTTGTCCTGTGAAGAAGAAGGCTTTAGACTGAGCACTATGCCTGCTGTGGGCAGTTTTGGCAATGGAAAGATCCACACACGACGCAAACAGCACAGCCGGTTTGTCGGCAAGTCCGGCCAATGCAACATCCATTTCTCAAACATGGATGAGAAGTCACAGCGGTACATATCTGACATTTTCACTACTTGCGTGGACATCCGCTGGCGATACATGTTCCTGCTGTTCAGCTTTGCGTTTGTGGTGTCCTGGTTAATGTTTGGCTTTGCGTTCTGGGTCATTGGCCTGCTCCACGGTGACATGGACAATCAAGGAAGGGACGAGAGTTTTGTTCCTTGTGTCATGAACGTTCACACCTTTGTGGCTGCCTTCCTGTTCTCCGTTGAGACCCAAACAACCATTGGGTACGGAGCTCGCTTTGTCACAGAGGAATGCCCAGCAGCTGTCTTCATGGTGGTCTTTCAGTCTATTATGGGGTGCATCATTGATGCCTTTATGATTGGCGCCATCATGGCAAAGATGGCAAGGCCCAAAAAGCGTGCAGAGACGCTACTTTTCAGCCACAATGCAGTAATCGCTATGCGCGATGGGAAGCTGTGCCTCATGTTCAGATGTGCAAACCTAAGGAAGAGCCACATCGTGGAAGCTCACGTGAGAGCCCAGCTGGTGAAGCCCCGCTACACAGAGGAAGGCGAGTACATCCCCCTGGATCAGATCGACATGAACGTCGGATACGACAAAGGCACGGACCGCCTGTTTCTGGTTGCCCCACTCACCGTCATACACGAAATTGATGAAGAAAGTCCACTCTTTGGCATCAGCAAACAAGATCTCGAAGCAGCCGACTTTGAGATAGTAATTGTACTTGAAGGGCTGGTGGAGGCCACAGCCATGACGACGCAAGCACGCAGCTCGTACCTGCCCTCGGAGATCCTGTGGGGTCACCGCTTTGAGCCCGTCATTTTCGAGGAGAAGAACCAGTACCGGATAGATTACGCCTACTTTCACAAAACATTCGAAGTACCATCCACCCCCAGGTGCAGCGCCAAAGACATGGAGGAGAGAAAATTCCCAACATCTGGCGCCAACTCTTTCTGCTATGAGAATGAGCTGGCCTTCATCAGCAGGGATGAGGAGGACGAGGGAGACATGGAGAAAGAGCAGGACAGAGAGTGTCCATCTGAGTTAGTGAATGAGTCGTCATTTACCGAACACGAAACGCCCTCTCGTAGAGAATCTGAGATTTAACCTTTGATGCTTGTTTTGAGCATCGCCACATGAAGTGACCTATGACTGTCATCCTGCTGATATGAGAACACCGCTGAGGCAGGTGGAGGACCAGCAGTACAGAGTAGTGAAGCTCGTCCGTGGACGTTTCAGGCTCTCCAGAGATGACCACTGAGTTTTATGAAAAACAGCTGTCATGTTACAATTGCAGAAGTTCCTAGTAATAAAATGCATGACAATAGCATAGTTTTGTATAAATATTTTGAGAAATGTTTCCCAGTCATGGCGGGACTATCTGTAGGTTCCTCAAATTTGCAGCGACGTGTGCAGTGAACTTGACTGAACTTGAAGTTATTGTTTAGGAAACTAAACCTGGAGAATACTTCTCCGAGCTCAACTGATAAAAACTCAAGTGCAAATCAAAAGTGGATGAGAGACAGATTTTCATTCTAAGCAAACTTAACACTTCTTTGAATGACAACAATATTAAACGCTCTTCATTAAACACCGTTAGCGACCGACTTGGCTGGTTGGCACAAATGCAATTATGAGCGCAAGAAAAGGTAGAGTTATACATATTTCTATCACAAAGGGGAAACAAATAATGTCACATCATTTGTAAGTTTTGTATATAGCAGGGAAAACTATTCATCTCTGTTTATTTCAGCCAGTGACAAATGTTGGATCTTAAATTTACATTTGAATTACTTGCAGTTTACTAGAAAATCAGTGGCATTACGAGTAGGAGTGAGACAAACTATGAATAAGGCAATATCTTGTATAGCTCTCCTGTACAGCTTGTTACATTGCTGGAAATTATGATAATCTTGGAGCTCCAAACTGATTCCCCTGCTAGTTTGATTTACCCGCGACACCAAGTCATGACACTTCATAATGTGTATTAAATTAAATTTATTGCAAGAAGCTCACACAGAGAAAGCGGTGCTAGACAGCAGGGGAACGCAAATGAGTGGGATAATTAAATGAATTTAGAAATGTTTATAAAATCGATTATTCTTGTTATGTACTATATATTACAATATTGACAAATAGAAACAAACTAACACCACATTACAGTGAATAAACACATGATTCCTTTTCCCTTTTTGGTTGTTTTCCTTTTTGCACAGAACTGTTTTACCATGTATTAAGTATTCCAAGTATGCTGTAACCTGATATCACTTGTTTTCATTGCTAATATACCACTGAAGAACTAGTTTGCTCACTTCTGTTGGTAACTATTACTATCATTGTCAAACTTTCCACTGGTACTGCACACATTATGCAGTTTACTCTCATAATAGAAGCTCCAAACAAAGGCTCCTTAATTAGAGACAGTTCCTGATAAACAGGATCAGCTTTTCCAGGTTGGGACTATCGGATTTGTCTGGCTAATGATTTTATCTGCTCTGCCTAGCTGCTTAATCAAGGTATTGTTAGTTTCGCGATCTGGCTGAAAAGGCTGTGTCCAGCTGACTTTGTGAAATCTTTAAAACAAGAAAAGGGTTCTTAAATATAGAAATTATTGTGACTATCATGATACAAAGACTAAGGCTAAAAGCCTCAAGCCCAAAACGTGCACTCTCACAAGTTGCAGAACCAGTGCATAAAACCTTCTAATAAAGAAAGTGCATTGATCTTGTACATAAATAGGTATTTGTAACACACAAATTCTAGGGTCTGAGCAAAAGCCATCTATGAGAAAAAAGATCACTTCAGGGAATTATTAGACAAACACTTAAATCAGAAGGAAACAATCCTAGCTACAGTATTTTGTGCTTAAAAGTTGGGGGTGGGAGGGACAGAGTCCAACTTGCAAAATGGATACAAAACACAGTCCTGAATGCTTGAAAAGAAGGCAACTGGACTCCTCTAAGCTCCTGAGAACATTTTGCCTATCACCCAAGAAGCTTCTTCAGTTTTAAAACAAGTGGTATCTAACCCCTAGTATGACTGTGCCCTTGGGAGTGGTCCTGTGGGAAGTATTAATCACGTGACAAGAGCCAAGGTGTGAAAAAAGGCATGAAACTTCATCTCCCGCTATCATGTGAGCTGCCTTGATAAATGCTCAAAGATGAATCAGTTCATCTGGAAGTTTTCACTTGGCATCTCATAACTCATCCAAGTGAATTCTCATTTCTTACCTGACTGCAGATTTCTCAGACTTTATAAACGAATAATTTTCATAATCACCAAATGTAGCTCCATTGTCACGACCACTGATCACTGGCCATGAGTGTAAATTTAAAGAGAGTTGATTGTTGATAGGACAAACATCTTCACAAACCTTAAAAAAATCCAGTTGCCTTCTTTTTAAGCATTCAAGATCATGACCTGGATTACTGACACGCAGTTCAAAGCCAGCTGGATTCAGCGGTTATCCTGCTAGATCAACGACCACCCCATCCTCAGCAAGTCAGAGAAACCGATACGCAGCATTGTTTGCTATGTGGAGTATAAGTAGACTAGAGTGGAAGCACAATCAAATATACCTGCCTTCAACTAACCCAACAAAAGCACAGTCGTTGCCTCGTAGCAATTGTAAGAACACACAGACCCACAAATCCACTCCAAAATCAGTGCCGATGCCCCACAACAACTGTGGAGGTAGATTATAGTGCAGAACAGCCCATGTCCCCTATCACAGATTTCACTCCTCCATATAACTATGATAAGAAAAAGTAGAAGTTTTTTTGTTGAGGAAACGTGGCTTAGCTTATAAACTACGACCAAGACAGAGATTATATTTTTATTAGTGGGCCTTTTGTATCCTCCACCGATTAAAAATGCAGAGAAAAGGCTTTTACAATCAGTATTACAGTAAATGTTGCAGCTATAGCTTGGCTGGTGATGAAACTAGAACATGGAAAATGAACCACAGATATGCTAACATGCTAACATTAGCTTACAATGGATTTGATCTGAGCACGTCCTTTATTATCTTCTGCTAAACCAGTGACTCCACAAAAAAGAGAATTTCTTTGGATGTTTAAACCCTGTAATAATGGAAAGTAAGCATGTTTGCTAGGTTTATCTAGATAACGTCACCTGGTGTTACTACCAAGGTCAGCAATGTTTCAGACATGCTTTGCTCACTTACAGCCCCTGAGCTACGATTGTACATTTCGCAGTTTGAGTCAGAACTCTCATTGGAAATAAATCTGTCCGTTCCTCTCAGAGGCAACAGACTATGAAAATAAAAATAAAACCGCCCACTTTTCTCCTTATAAATGTTATCCTGCAAATCAAAATGTCAAATTGAGCTGTGTGGATGTGAAAAAATATATTTAGAAATAAGCAAAGACTAATAAGATCTAACGACTCACTGTTAAAAAAAAAACAAAACAAAAAAAACTTGAAAGTTAATTTTGGAGGGACCCATTGGCAACAGAAGAGTCTAATTAAAGTCATCTGAAATGAAGCACTGTGCCATATGTGACCCATGGGACACAGAGTGGGCTAATACTGTGGCACATCTGAGCCCTTTATGAGGACAAATCCAAAAGGGGATGCCTGACACAACAACTATGTTTATATAAAGTCTGTTGATTCCTAGAGTCTCAGATCAGAGGGGATTTTCAGAAGATATGTCATATTTCTTTCTGCAAAACAGGTATTTAGAGTGAAATCAGAACATTTTAACATTCACAATCAGTGCAAGCTAATCAAATCTTGTGCAAGATTCCTTGAACTGTTTATTCATTGAGATTAATGAATGTGAAAAAAAGCTAAGCAAAGCAAAGTGACCCTGAGCGTCCTAGTTTTACTCTGACCTGCTCATCTGGTGGAAGACGACATGCAGGGCTAAAAAAAAAAAAGACATGATAACATCCACTGAACAGATGCACTTTATTAATTTTTGTTCTGCTATTTAATCTATTTTTAACAGTCTGATGCTTTTCCTGAGGAGGGAATATTGTCTTAATCTTCCTTTTCGTCTTAATAAGTATAATAGGTCAGACTGTGTTTTATCTCAGGAGAGACAAATTAGTTTCCCCTCCATATTCATCAAACTAAAAACTCCATGTGGGTTAACTTAGGTGCCTAACTGCCATTTCAGCACATTTCAACACATTTTTATATCTCTATATATTGCTGACTTGCGCTGAAACTATCAGAATAGGTTTGCTCTAGAAAACAAATGTTGGTTCAAATGCACCAAGAGTATGATCAAAGAGTTTTCCATGTAAAACAGAAAAAAGTTTAATACATCTGTCAGTGTATTGTAAATACATTTTTTGCTTCTGATCTGTCAGGCTGAATGCTCATAATTATAGACAGAGAGATATATACACTCACTAGCCAACTGCCCAGCTCTCTTAATCAAATGTCTCATCAGCCAATCACATTGCAGCCACTGGGGAAGAAAAGTGATTTGAATGACTTTGAACATAGCACGGTTGTTGATGCTGGTATGAGTCTTTCAGAAACTGCTCATCTACTGAGATCCCACACAACAGAAGAAAATATTCAATGAGTTCCCTGAAAAAACGCTCTATTGATGGCAGCGGTCAGAAGAGAATGGCCAGACTGCTTCAAGGAAAGCATCATATAATCATTTGTTACATCCAAAGTATGCAGAAGAGCATCTCCAAATGCAAAACACGTGAAATCTTATAGCAGATGGGCTACAGCAACACAACGCCAGACTAGGTGCCGCTCCTGTCAGCTAAGAACAGGAAACTGAGGCTACAGATTGCACAGACTCAACACAATTAGACAGTGGAAGATTGGAAAAAGGTTATCTGGTCTTGTAATGTCAGAATCTGGCATGAACAGCATGAAAGCATGGATCCATCCTGCCTTGTTTGAACCATTCAATCAGGTGTTGATGGTCTAATGTTTCAGGTGATCTTCTGGTGGCAGGTGAACACATTGTGTAGGCTACCTAATAAAATGGGGGGTGAGTGTAAGTTGGCACACGGTTTTATAAAAGTAAGGGATCAGAATTTTTAGTGTCTTGAGAAATAAATAAACTGGAAATACTCTTTTTGCCTAAAGGATTGAAATGACATCTAATGAACTGAACATCTCTGACCTCATTTTGCTCTTTTCCACTAAATGCATTTGAAGCCACACTTTTTTTGTTTCCTTGCAGAGTTTCGTTTGTTGTGCGAGACAACACCTTAAAAGTGGGAGATGCACTAACAAAAAGAAGAAAAAAGAAACACTCCTCCTCTCATTACCACAATAAAATCTGTCTGATAAAGCCAAGCTTTCCTTCTTTTCTGCCCTTTGTGGTAGTCAGACACTAAAGACATGAATAATCCTACAATAAGCATCTGATGAGTGCGTATGGTGTAGCGTGACTGAGGAAAGTAAGTGAGCCGTTTGATAAGCAGAAAGGAATGGACTTTGATTTATGGCTGTGATTTGGTTTGAGGGTATCTGGTTGGGGTCAGAGGTTTCTTCTTTCGCTCTTATGCAACCAATCAGTCACGTCTTTGCATACACACACGCAAGACTTGGCAGTTCTTTTGGATTTCGCTGCCCTGTAACCTTGAGCACTTGTAGAGGGATCACATGCACATATATTCACACCACAGAAATCTAATGTAGAGCCTTCGTCACTGTTCCTGCTGTTGTTTAACAGGTTATTAACAGGTTATTTTCACTTTCACAGTCACAGAAAGTCTCCACTGATAGGAAACACTCCAAATGTGCTGGTGGTACCTCTGTCTAATCGTAATTCTACCCAGATCTAGTTTTACTCAATTACCAGCTAATGTGACCTGGCATATCAGGAGTCAAAGTGAGGCTGTGAGAAATATTAAACTCGTGGCAAACTGTTCTGTATTTAATTACATTTGACTTTCATGCTATTAGTGCCAAATGAAAGCACAATCTCTTACTTTTATCCGTCTGTATCCTCTGAGATGTGCTGTGTGTGATGAAAGGAGCACTGAGAATAAACCTGGGATCCTTCCCACCCACTCTGCACTGTTGTGGAGGATGAGAAGCCGTTGAGGGTCAGTCTTCAAACATGCAGAGTGGGTTGCTGACAGGCAAATTCAGCCTTAATTGGACCAGCTCTATTCTTTACCTCAGCTCCTAGAAGGAGGTGGAGTGTGGAAAAAAGAAAATAACATGATGCAGCACTAACAGCTGCATTTCCGTTCCTCAAGCAATAACTCCGGACATTTTAGACCTAGAT